AATCATGGGTTCCCGTCCCTTTCATCGTTTTTTCATCGTTCTTCCCTTTCCTTAATTCTATTGTCGGAAATAGTAAACCAACTGTAAGTTCCCTAAAATTAAATTCCAAGAAAGTTTAAATAAATGGCCGAATTCCTTCTATTTCTTTTCTCTTTTACCATTTCTAATCTCTTTCTATGTTTTTAATCCCATTGCCGGGAACATAAAATAACAAGGGTATCCCCCCTAGAATTAAATGTTGTGAAAAATAAAGAAAATAAGGGATATTATGTTTTTCTCTTCTCCCCTACTGGTCTTAATCCCTTTTCCCCATCTTTAATTAAGGTACTAAAAAAGACAAAAATTTGAGGCCTCATTTCGGCCCCGGTCGTATGCCGCAAAAAACGTTGCGGCGAAGTCAGTTCCCGCGATGCCTCTTCGCGGCAGGCCAATCCGGGTCTAACCCTCTGAACGGCCGGAAATGACGGTCCTTAGATACGCCGAGTGCGGCCACCTATCTCGCCATCTTTGAGGGTTACTCGTAAGGTTGAGTGCGCCCAAATCAGGGGTGCCCTGAGTTCCCCTAATTTTTGTCGCCTGTTCTTACGAGAGTACCATCAAAACACGGACTTGCCCCTGAGCCTAAGTCCCAAAACTGCAGATTTCAGGCGGCGCACTGCTTGTGGCCGCCTAAGTTAGCCCGGACCACTTCTCGACGCCCCCGTCGAGCCCTATCCACTTACGTCAAACGAAGCGGACAAGCTTCAGCGTGATTGCCCGTAAAGGACGCCCATATCGACGTTTAATTGTCTTATGTTTCAGTCTGTTTTGAGTTCTAGGGCTAAGTAGATGTTTTTTTACTTTCCTTCCCCGCCGGGTTCTCGGCCTTGGTAGGATCCTTTTTTTTTTTCTGTCGTTGGCCCGAGAAGGGTGCCGACCCGCCAGTACGTCTAACGCGAACTCTCTGTCTAGCTCGCTTGAGCACGAATAACCATCTCTTCTCTCTTCCTAAAGCTAACCCTTTGACCTTTCTCTTCTCTATTCTTTTCCTTTTCTTGGAACTCTCCCCTGCCTCGAATTGCCTCAAGGGGGCTCCATCCTCCATTATGGCTTTTCCTTTCCCTTTCGGGCTGGTCAGCGATAAGGCGGGCGCGGGCTTGGGCCTAAACAGCTTTAACCTAGCGCCCGCCACTGGGTCCTTCCACTTGGATCCGTCTAATTCTGCTATCATATATGCACCCCAGTCGAGTGCCTCAACCACTCTGTAAGGTCCCATCCATCTGTTGGCGAGTTTTCCGGTCCAGGTCCTTTCCAGCGCTGCATCGTAGAGAAGGACCATATCTCCTACACTCACCCTCTCCTTCCTGATTTTCACGTTCTTATCCCATCTCTCTTTACCTCTGTCTCTTTCCACTGCCAGACAAGCTGCCGCTGTCATAAGGTTATCTTCCAAACCGTAGGCTATCTGTCTTGTTCGGGCAGCTATGAGTTCCTCTCTGGACATCTCCTCCGCCCAGTCGACGGTTGTCCAGCTGTCGACGTGAAACTCTATGGGAAGCGGACAATGTCGCCCAAACCGCAAGGTGTATGGAGGGTATCTCGTGCTAACCCGGACCGTGACGTTGTCCACCCAAATTGCGTATCGAAAATATCGTGGCCAATCACTGTCCTTGCCTTTGCACCACTTAGATAGCGATGCTATCAGGGTCTGGTGCCCTCTCTCTACTGGGGAGTTTGACTGTGGGTGGTAGGCAGTGGCTATCGAAACTCTCGCCCCAGCTCTCTTGAATACATTCTAAACCTCGGCAGCCAGGAATTCCGCTCCTCTGTCCATCACTATCTTGCGGACACAACCATACCTAGATAAGTACTCTAGGACGAAGTTCTTCACTTCCTTTGCCGTCTTACTCCTGATAGGTCTACCATCCACGAACCCCGTGAAGTCGTCTCGTATATTCACAACATCGTTCATATTGCCTACCCCTTTCGGCATCTTCACCAGATCGATGTGTATCTTCTCTCCTGGTGGGGTTGGATAGGATGGATGAAGTGGCTCTTTGTATTTCACAAGAGCCCTTTTCTGGCATTCCTCGCATGTCATACAGTACCTCTCGACGTCCTTATACTGTCCTTCCCACCAGTACAGCCGGCGTATCTTTTCGTAGGTTCCTTTGACTCCCCTGTGTCCTCCGACTACCCCGTCGTGAAGCTCCGCAACTATCGTCTGTCTCTCCTCAGGATCACAGACTACTCGTAGGGGCATTCCCGACCCTACTGGCCTTCGGAAAAGGTGGCTCGCTCTAAGGCAGTACTGGGCTGCTTGTCTCCGGATATCTGAATCTTGACTCTCCTCTCCCGTCAGGTATAGTCCGATCGTTCGGTACTTGCCCTCGTAAAGATTAACTAGAAATCTCTCGGCGTGTCTCGGCTCTGCCATTGTCAGGGCTCCAGCTACTATCGGGCGCTCGCCCTCAAGAGGGATCCGAGAGAGCTCATCCGCTACGACATTTTTAGTGCCAGATATCCTCTCCACGGTGTAATCATATAACCGAATCCGTATCAACCATCGTGCAATGGTCGGGTCTGTCAGGCTAAAGTCCTTCTGGAGGACAGAGGCGACCGCGGTGGGATCCACTCTCAAGATGAAACGTCGTCAATAGATATAATGTATGAACGTGTCTAAACACCGCAGAACAGCTAATACTTCCTTCTTGAATTGACTGTAGTTTCGCTCTACCGTATTAAGTGTCCTACTCTCAAATCTTAATGGTTTTTCCTTCCCTTCAGCGTCCTTCTGAGATAGCAACCCTCCTACCGAACAAGGCCCAGCATCCGTGGCTACTATGAAGGGTCTCCCAGCCTCATCATCAAAGTACGACACGCCCAGTACGCGTCCTTCCTCCTTAAATTCATCTTTAAGCTCTTGCATAGCGAGTTCCTGCGAGGAATCCCAGTAGAATTTCTCAGTTTTTCGAAGGAGTAGTCTCAATGGCTCAGCCTTCTCTGCATACCTTCGTATGAATATTCGCCAGTAACCGACCACTCCCAGAAACTGCCGGACCTCGGTTGGACTATGTAATGGTGACGGACAGTTCAGGAGTTTGTCTAACTTCGCCGGATCTACTCGGTGTCCCCTCGAGTCACAGATAAAGCCCAAGATCTTAATAGTCGAGACGGCCCATCGGCTCTTTGTTCCGCTGACTGTTAGATTCGCATTGTCCAGCTGCTCGAGTACCGCGCAAATATCCGTTAGGTGCTTCTCGACGAATCTTCTAACTCCAGGTGCAACCTCTGCCTCATCCTTGTTTACTGGCCTTTTTATAGGAAGGTCATCTAGAAAAACTTCAACCTTATCAGGGATGAAGTCCTTGAGGACGGCTACGATGGCTCTCTGAAAAACGGCTACCCCATTAGTCCAACCCATAGGGACAACCATCATCTGTATTAGTCCCAATGGCATATGCATAGCCGTGAGGTGCCTGTCTCTAGGGTCAAGCGGTACCTCATCATAACCTGAGAACAGATCACAGACCGAATAAATCAACCTACCTGCAGTGCCTTCTGCCAGTAAATCGGCGTGTGGCACGGAGCCCACGTCTCGTATCGTCACCGCGTTGACCTTATGAAGGTCCTGGATCCATCGGATCTTGCCATTCGGCTTTCGTAGGAAGAACCATCGATTAGCATAAGCGCTATCAGACGGCTCCGCAACGTGGGAAACCATCTTTTCTTTCATGAAAGCGATAGCTTCTTCCTTCTCCTTCTGGGCGTATTTTCATCCCGCGTCATTCCAGGGAACATGTGGTATCGTGTAAATCCTTGTTGGCTTAGCGTATCGAGGGTCAACCCTACCGCGCTCCGCGTCACTAAAAGCTATGGCCTTATCACATGTCTTCAGGATTTCTATCACACGTTCTCGCTCTTGTGGGGTCAAATTCCGATCTCCGATGTCCATCCCTGCTATCCTCTCTTCCGTTAGGCGTTGCGGTCTCTTTCTCTTTCTTTCTTTGATTTCTTTCGCGATCTCTTCTTCCGATATCCCTTCCAGTGCAGATCGTTCGCGGCCCACCGCCGCTGGCTTAACTTTGTGAGCTACTCGCTTGGGTAGCCCCCCATAGGGGGCCGTGCCCTTAAAAAAGACACGGATACCACACCGCCAAATTCCTCATCTTTTTCCTTTGGGTACGAGTTGCCGTCCACTATTAGCCGACCTAAATTTTCCACCTCCACGATCCGACCTTCTTCCTCTGTAAGCAGTGGACCATATTTCTTCTCGCGAAATCGCACCGCGCAGCCGGAGATAGGTAATGACTTAATCTGATTACTGGGTCTCGCACCCACAGTGAGAGCTGCTCTGTTCCTCGGGTCCCGAGGCTCCACTGTCTCAATCATTACCCGCGTTCCGTCTGGCTTCCTAATGGACAATATTTGGCTCCCATCAGGTCGCTCTATCGTCACTGCATGCACGTGGCTCAGCCACGTTCGACCCAAGAGCAGGTCGGAGCTGCAGTTCTTGACTGCAAAGACTGGCAGGGTCACTCGTACCCCTTGGACCTCTATGGCTGCCTTGTGACAAACCCCAGTGATCTGTTG